GAGTTTTGGACACTGCTCTGTGGTTCGCTTTGACCAAATCACAGACTCTTTATTTGCAGCTTTGCTCTCGAGCCCCAAAGTCCTGTGTGTGGGGCTCATGGTCGGGGCCAGCGGCTCCATGGTGTGCACCCTGTACCGGCACAGGCAGCGGGTCCGGCACCTTCAAAGGAGCAGCGCCTCCTCCACGTGCTCCCCGGAGTCCAGAGCCACCCGCACCATCCTGCTGCTGGTGAGCACCTTCGTCTTCTTTTACACCGTCTTCTCCATCTTCCAGCTGTCCTTGACTCTCTTCCACAATCCTGACTTGTTGCTTGTGACTATTACTGCAGTCATCAGCACCTCCTTCCCGGCCATCAGCCCCTTTTTGCTCATGAGCCAGGACCCCAGCGTGTCCAGGTTCTTCTCCGCCTGGAGAAGAAACCTAAAGGCCCCTCATCTGTGAGAAACAGATCACTTGCATAAGTTTGCACACGAGTGTGAGTTTGACCACGGCCTCTGCTCCTCAGCCTTCTAAGTACAGTCCCCAGAGGCTGCCGGAGTAGGGGACCCGCGACAGGCTGAGCCCTGCAAGGAACAGGCAGGACGTTGATCGGACTGAAACGAGAACAATGATCATGAAACACTGGATTCAGTGGAGACCCTCAATCCCCAGCGATGACCTAGGTGGGGGCTTAGGACAGGCATGTGGACGTGGGGCAACAAATGGCAGGTCAGCACTGGGCCCAGGGGCCATCAGCCTGGAGGGCAGATTCCATCAGGGATCAAGATTTTGGGGCTGCTTATGAGATTTGTACATTTCATCCCCACAGAGGCAGACGGACCCACAGTGCTCACGGGACTGAGGGGGCCCTTGGATTTCAAGGAGCAACATAGTCACTTCCTCAACATGTAAAGAGGTTCTTGGTATTTATATTCTAAAATGGATGCAATTGCTGATTTCCAACAATGTGAAGAACAGAAAAAATTACTTGACCAAAAGATCTCTCTGTCCAGATATCTATCACTGATCTGCTATCATCGATCTGTATCTATTGAAGGTTACACAGCAAGAGAAACCCATAATTTAACTTAGATATTTGTCACCAATTAGATGAGGTAGGAAGAGGGGAAAGGAAAATTAGATGTATAGACAGAGAACACACACATCTGTAGTTACACGTATCTGGGAGTATGTATATTTGTCGTGTGTGCGTGTTTTGTATTCAATATTATCCAACAATCAATGTGTCAGTTGTACAATGTGAATAGTGTTCATTACTGTAAATGAAAAACTGGTGTATCCATTATAGAAAACTGTAGGGAAATTCTTCCAAATATTAAAAATGGACATTCCATAGAATCCAGTTACTCACTTTTGGATTTTTACTCGCCCGAATACGAAAACACTCATCTGATAAAAACATGCACACACGTGTGTATCGCAGCATTATTTACAATACCGAAGGCCCTAATGGCCACAGATGGATGAATGGATAAAGACGACATGGCACATACACACAGGAATACTACGCAGCCATTAAAAGCGTCTGTGTAAAGACATCTGTGTGTGTGTGTGTGTGTGTGTGTGTGTGTGTGTGTGAACACGCGATCCTGCAGGGTTCAGTCTGTCAGATTTGTGCAGATATGTGTGAAGAGCTGTGAGTCGTGTCTGTGCAGGGGGATGGCTTTCCATCCGGGTGGGTAATGAATGAAAACAGATCAATCAGTTGATTTAAGTGGAGGAAAACCTAGAGTTCAATTCAACTCATAATGGATGTTTTTCTGGCCCCCACGGCTTATCAGCCATGTATTTATTAACTTAAAGACACCAACGTGCCTTGCTCAGATGTCACCTACAATCACTCGTGGATGTGTGCACTAGCAGCCTGGCCTGGCGAAGGAAGCAGTACTGGCTGACGGGACAGGAGAATGAGTCCCCGGTGCCATCGGCTCCCAGGGCCTGCTTTGAGGGGCTCTGAGAACTTTCTCTCTTTTCATCTGCTGTTATCAGTTGCTTCTTCTCATATCACCAATAGAGTCAGCATTGGTAAAATATACTTTTTCAAATTGTAATGATTTGCCGGTTTTTTCCATAAGACACAGATGTGGGGGAGTTCTGCTTTCTTTTCTTCACTTTAAAAGGACAGGTTTATCAGGAAAAGGAGAAAACACGACGCCACAGAGGCAGGGCCGGGCCCGGGGAGGGAGCTCGGCTCACACCTTCATCCCCACACATGCTTTACTCATCCCCAAAAGGCCTTACACCCTTGTCTGCCCCTGCACCCCACGCGCTTCTGCTAGCCAGCATATTTTTCAGAGATTCAAAGAATTATTCTCCTTGTTTTCCCAGTTTGTTTCCGTTGGTATTTCTAGTCCACGCACGAGTGAAATTCCCCAGGAACTGTCCTCACACCCGACTTCTTTCACTGAGCAAAACCACCTCAAGGTCCGTTCAAGCTGTCCTGTGGCCGGTGTCGCTGCCACCCTTTCTTCCTCGCGGGGTCCTGAGCTGGGTTCTGGCCCGGGCTGTTGGAACTCTCCCTGCCGTGGCCTCTTCCGGGACTGTTCTCATGTGCTTTGGCACACGAGTAGAAAAGTGCCAAGAACAACTTCAGGGACCTCAGTGGCTGTCTGGAGACGTGAGGCCTTGGAGACCCCACACACTGGAAATGTTGGTTATACGGTGTTGACATTTTCAATTTTTTTGAGGAATCTGCAAACCATCATCCAGGGAAGATGCATCACACGAGACCCCACCCAGCAGCGAAGGAGCGCCCTGAATACACGGAAACTCTCTGAACGACGAACAGTCACTAAGGGAGCACGAGGGTACATGTGTTAGAGGAAATCACTGTCGTCACTGCCTGTGACCTGAGGCCTTTCCACCCTGCTGAGTCTGAGCCTCCCGGTCTCTGCCCGGCATGCCCTGCAGGCTGCACTCCGCGGGTGACGGGAGTCAGATCCCGAGGGTGACCCTCTCAGTGAGCACAGCCTCCCCGCGATGCCCCTTGTCCCATAGGCCCCCAGTCTGTGCTGTTTACTCTGGGGCTCCTCCCAGGCCCTCGTCTGCCCCCAGGCCCGGGAAGCAGGGTCTCCCCAACGCCCCACGTCTCAGGAAACCACTGAGGACCCTGAAGTTGTTCTTGGCAATTAGCAGCAGGAAAAGTTTTCCCGACTCCTCTGAGCTCCCAGGCCTGTCACTGCCTGGGCAGCTCCTGGGACATGATAATTGCAGCTGTGAGGTGGAGTCCCAGCGGCACACACTATATCGCGGGGTGCGCTGGACCCTGCGGAAGGATGCAGGCTGAGCCCTTCCCTGAGCCCAGCACCCGGGCGGCAGGAAGCCGGTGAGTCTGCTCTGTGCTCACGGGGGCGGGTGTGGGAGGGGACAGGGGTGCAGGAGGGACAGGGGCAGAGGGGACACCCCGCTCCTGGAGCCAGACCTGGGAAAGCACCTCTTGAGCTAGTGACGACAACGGAGAGCAGGTCCCCACCATAAGCGTGCCTGGTGCCCGGCTCCGGCTCCTCAGACCCAGGAGGCCGCGGGTCCCTGCAGCCCAGGAGCACCCTGACTCCCCTGACCTCAGCGTGGTGGATCTGGGGCTCCTGCTGCTCAGCCTCCTCAGGAGGGGCCCTGGCCTGATGCCCGGGGCCATGGGGCGTCTCGGGGCCTCCCTGCTGGTGAGACAGGGCCGGGGACTGCACGGGGCTCTGGTCCCGGCAGGAAGCTCGTCTGAGAGCCGGGGAGGAGGAGACGGTCCCCGACACGGCGGGTGAGGCCGCCGCGGGCACGTTGTTCTGTCTCCTGCCCAGAGAACTGTCCACTCACTGCGGGCAAAGCGGCGCGCAGGAGGAAACAGAGCGGAGGCGATGTCGGGGCCTGTTGGACCACAGAGACAACGTGACCCTTGACCTGCCCTTTCAGAAAGAGCCTCGCGGGGCTGCTCGTGGCGGCGGGGGCAGAACCCGGGACGGTGCGTGTCCTCTCTGCTCCCCGGGCCGTGGCTTCCCCCCCCGGCGCGTCTGCGGCCTGGACCCCTGTGCCGCGCCCGGCTCTCTGCTCACCGTGAGGTGAAGGTCAGACTCTCCTCAGCGGTTGGGCCCGTGATCTGACGTCGGGGCCGAGCTCGTGCCCTCACACGCTTATCACACGGGGTGTCGGGCCCGTCGTCCCGGCTCAGGCCTTTGCCTGCGGCTCCCGGGGTGAAAGCAGACGGGCTGTTTCCAGGCTCCTGGCGGCTCTGGGCTCCCAAGCCCGGGGTGGGGGGACGGCTCTGCCCTCCCTGCCCGCGGTGCTCCCAGTTTATTCACACCCCTGGAGCTTGGCTCTGCCTGAAGAATACCTTCACAGAGACACCCTGAGTGTCCCCGGAGCTGGGGAGGGCCTGAGGGTGGCAGGGCTGCTAAGGCCGAGAGTCTCACAGACGGGCTGGGATCTCTTCCAAGAGGGAGGAGGTGCAGGTGTCCCCAAACGGGCAGGGAGAGAGAGGGCCAGAGCCACAGAGCCGGCCCAAGAAGCCTGTGCGCACAAGCGGATGCCAGTGCCACCTTGTCAGGGCCCGTCTTGGGAAATGAATCTGCCCTGGAATGGCAGGACACACGCAGGGTCAGTCAGCTTCTGGTCGAGCTGAGGACTCAGCGGAGGGCCCCCTGGGGAGTGTGGGCTCAGTGGCCTGTGTGTCCCCCGCCCAGCCAGGTCAGCTCGCCACTCCACCCGGAACCACTGAGTGAATCTGAGGGACCCGGATCCTCTCCGTGCCTGTGCGCCCTCTGCTCCATGAGGACAGGACAGCGCCGCCTCGGCAGTCTGTGAGGAAGGCAGTCAGCCTCCCTGAGCTATCCCTGCAACGGGGAGTCCTGGGTGTACGTTTAGCCACCAAAAGTCTGAATAACTGGGAGCCTTTCAGTGAACACCCCGGAGGGGAGCTGTGTGGGGAGGGAGGCCGGGGCAGCAGCTGACTGGCTGCCCAGCAGGGTCCTCCTGCTCAGGAGGCCCGTGCCAGCTGCTGAGAACTGACAGGATGGACTTCCGGGATTGGGTGGCGGTGACAGTCGTGTTCTTACTAGCTGGACTCGGCATCCTGGGGAATTTCTGTCTTCTTTCCCATCAGCTCTTCCTCTCTTTCCATGGGGGTAGGCCGAGGGCCACAGCTTTGATTGTCAAGAACTTGATTATGGTCAATTTGTTGGTCCTGTGCTCCAGCAGTATCTCCTATCCACTGACATCTGCTGGGTGGTATCAAGGCAGTGATTGGAGCTGTAAGCTTGTCTGTTATGTTTCTGGAGTGGGCAGAGGCGTGTCCATAAGCACCACCTGCCTCCTGAGTGTGTTCCAGGCCATAACCATCAGCGCCCAGGGCTCCAGGTGGGCAGGGCTGAGAGAGAAAGTTCTCAGGTGCGTCCTACCCTGCATTGCCCTGTGCTGGGTCCTGAGCATGCTGGTTAATTCCATCTTTGCCGTGTTCATTGGGGGCTATTTAAATGACACAAATGACACAAGCAGGAAAAGGTTTGGACAGTGTTCCTCTGTTCGTCACGACCCAGCCAGTGACATCTTATATGGGGCTTTGCTCTCCTTCCCAGATGTTGTGTTTTTTGTGACCATGGTCGGGGCCAGCGGCTCCATGGTCTACACCCTGTCCCGGCACAGGCAGCGGGTCCGGCACCTTCACGAGTTCGCCTCCTCCATGTCCTCCCCCGAGTCTAGGGCCACTCACACCATCCTGCTCCTGGTCAGCACCTTCGTCTTCTTTAACATCATTTCCTCCATGCTGAAGGTTGTTGTGGCTGTTACTTATCATCCTGACTGGTATGTTTTTAACATCAATACAGTAATCACGCTGTCTTTCCCGACTCTCTGTCCTTTTCTGCTCCTGAGCCGGGAGCCCAAGGTGTCCCTGCTGTGCTCTGCCCTGATCAGGAATAATAAATGTCAGAAATCCTTGAGAAATATGTAAACTGCGTGTGAGTGCACGGTCATTTATTCATTCGATAATTCACTCACACCCCCAGTCCTAAGTGCAGTTGTGAATGACATATGGTTTACAGATAGGCTGAGCAACCGCTTCAAAGCAAGTGTTTCTGGACCAGTCACTGTAACGAGGTCTGTACAGGGGTCCCTAATCCTCCTGTGAGGAACACAGTCTTGCTCCAGATGGTTTGCAACGTGTGCGAGACAGCACGCAGTCCTGACACTCTCTGGGATGGCGGAGAGGCCTCAAAAGTGTCAATTTAATTCTCACAGAAATTCTTAGGAACATCTGGGCTTGGAGCTTTGATCACAGGAAAATGGCACGGTGGGTGCAGGACAGCCCTGGAGCTGGAGTCAGCTGTCCTGAGGGGAGACCCCGGCAGCGAGTCAGGCTTCAGGAGCCGTTTTCAGTCTTGCACGTTTCACCTTCAGGGAGGCAGATCCCGTATTCGAGAAGGGCGTGTGAAAGTGATTCTGTGCCTGGGCCCCCTCTGGTAGACTGTGGACTGATGGGCTGGGTCCAGGAGGCACAGTCACACATCTTAGCTGGTTTCAAGCCACCAGAGAGTGAGGGTGACATGCTTTGCGTGGCCTGAGGTGTGCAGGAGCAAGCTCTCTCCCACAGTGAAGGGGATGTGAGCGGGTTTGCAAGACACAAAGTGGAGGTGCCCTCTCTCGTCGCTCAGGGTGGAGGGAGCAGGAATCTCGGCACCTGGGGAGATGCACTTGGAAGGAGAGAGCTGGATCCTCTGTGTGTTCAAGGCACCAAATGCGTGTGTCCTCAGTCTCAGGAGGGACATGTATAGAGCTTGCTCTGAATGTACAGTGTGGAGCTGACGCAAAATATGAAGGATTCAACAGTGTACAACTCAAACACTGTGACAGACTTGTCTGTCATAATGTGAGCTCATGTGATACACTTTCTTACTTGTCACAAATTAGTCCACAAAGGAAGAAGTAAAGCTCCTGATGCTTACATTCTTACAACTGTATTATGTTTCCATGTGTCCACACGGATCTCAGATGTGTGTCTGGTGTGATGTGTGTCTGGTATGATGTGACGTGCCGTGTGTGACCTGGGCTGGTGTAATGTACACACCTGTATCAGTGTTCACCTAAAGGCAATCGTCATTTATTTATGTATTAGAAATTTATAATTTCAGAAAAATGAAAAATAGTACTTATGATATTCATGAAAACGGTGACATTTCATAAAGTTTATATTGTCTGATGTGTGGATACTGCCACACAATTGTTTAATTGTTTAAATAAGTACATATTTTTGGGCCTCCCCTGGTAGCGCAGGCGGTCAGTGCAGAGCTGTGAAGCTGTCCCCAGCCTCTGCAGCGCTGATTCGATTCTGGCAGGCCAGCGAGTGTCCCACATGCGCGGCAGACCTCTCCTGTCATGCCCGCTGCTCCCCTCAGCAGTGTATTTTGTCAGTCCGCCTGTTCAGTTCCCTACTCTGTCTCTGGTGAATCTTCTCACCATCCCACACATCTGGCCTATACCCCGGTTCTTGTATAAAAAAAAAATAAATCTTTTAAAAAAAGGTACTATTTTACCACTCTCATTGTTTATGTAACCATAAGTCTTCACAATAATCCAATGTCCAAAATAACATTACTTGATGTTAAAAGTTGTAATTCGTCTGTCAATTTAATATAATATTGATAATTTGAGCAGAAGAGAATTGCTTTATTTTATCTATGCTAGCTTTTTTTCCATTGATTTAAATAGTAATCCTACATTAGAAATGCACTTTACAGGCCTCTGCATTTGAGCGCTGGGCTACGAAGCTGCTCGCACCCTCTACAGCGCTGGTTCGATCACGGGCCGCCAGTGAGGGTCCCACATGGCGTGACAGACCTCTCCTGCCCCGGCCGCTGCTCCCCTCAGCAGTGTACTTTGTCAGTCTGCCTGTTCTTTTCTCCGCTCTGGATCTGGTGAATTCTCTCACCTTCCCGTGCTTCTGACTATACCCAGTGCTTGTATAAATAAATAAATAAATCCTTAAAAAAAAAAAGAAGAAATGCACTTTATATTTCTACATTACACATGCTTCATCTTCTTTGAAATTTGTTTACACAACTTTATTATTTTTTTATTAATTTATTTATTTATACAAGCACTGGGTACAGTCAGAAGCGCGGTAGGGTTAGACAATTCACCAGAGCCAGAGCGGGGAACAGAACAGGCAGTCTAACAAAAGACTAACGAAATACACTGCTGAGGGGAGCAGCGGGCGCAGCAGGAGAGGTCTGTTGCGCCATGTGGGACCCTCGCCAGTGGCCGGGGATTGAACCGGCGCTGCAGAGGCTGCGGGCAGCTTCGCAGCCCAGCGCTCAACCACTGCGCCACGAGGGAAGGGAGGGGAGGCCCAACTTCATTATTTTTAACCTGGAAATTTCCTTCTATTTCTAAGAGCTCACCATACCACAGAGTAATTTAGTCAATTGCACCCACCCTTACTATTGGGGTACAGTTGATAAAATTAAAAGCTAGTCTCTGCATCATGCTCAGCAGAACATGCTGGGGAAATAAAGGAGATAAGAAAGGGAGTGAGATACATGCAAGTAGGGAGCCAGATCAAGTGCACACACGCCAAAAGGTGTCATAGCTCCAGAGAAGGTGGAATCAGGGCAAACAAACCCCAGACATGGCCTAAAGGGAGAAGCTGACTGAAAGCCTGATGCCAAAATGGATAACAACCAGCAAGGACCTACTCCCCAAGTCAGACAAAGCCTGTAAAAAAGCCAGAAATCCAGCTTAGACCCAGAATTCTCCCCTCTCGCTCGTTGCTTCTCTTAGCGAAGCATTTCCACACATCTACCTGTTGTGTTATCCACTATGTCTCTTGTGCATCCATTCACCCCCAAGCCTTTGCCCTCACCTGATGGTCTTCCCAGAACATTTACCACATAAAGCACAAAAAAAATGAGTTTACTACATCCCATCTTTGAAAGCCCTGCAGGTATGTATTTTCCATTTTTCAATTCCAGCCCCTGTGAGTGCAGAGTAAGTTCCCAGTGAGCTCACCCTGTCCTCAGTCCCTGATACCACAAACAGGGTCTGTCAGTTCCGGCCTCAGGCTCCTCCCCCACAACCACCCCTCAAGCCACCCTGCTCTGCCATCTTCTCTGGGGGGGGTGGGGGGTGTCACCACCAGCTGAGCCCTCTCTGTGCAGGAGGGGGAGCAAGCACCTTCCTATTTGGGTCTGTTTGATGCTATCTGTGCGTTTCCTGCTGCCTGGGACTTTTGTCCATCCCTGGCACTGCTGTCCAGGACCCTGCTGTGTAAGCAGGAAACACCTGATCATTCCTGGTTACTTGGCCCAGACAGGCCGACCCCAACCCCAGTTCCCCTGGTCCTAGGGGCAGACAGAACAGCTTTGTTCCTTGTAAGGATATTCTAATTTGATAAATCTGCGCCTACTGAGCCAGTGTCCTGACCACCATTGGAGCTCTAGCCCCTGCCATGTCGGGCTGTGTCCTTAAGGTCAAGTTCTGCCCACACCCAATGGGGTGTTCTAGCCGCCCCCAGCTGATGCAGGGGCAGTCCCAGGTCAGGGCTCTAGACACAGGGGAGCCATCCCTGCCTGTGGGAGTCCCAGCTGCCTCCACAAGGGGTGGCCGGGTAAATGGATTGCACTGATGTCATCACACCTGACACCAGGGCCCCATCAGGAGGGCGGGGCAGCCTGGCCTGGCCCAGGTCTTTCAGGGACACCAGCCCAGGAAGGCCAGTATCCCTGGACACGCACCCTGGCCACCTGCTGTCCACATGGCCTATTTGGGGTGTGTGTGAGGTCCCTGCTGTGCATGTAAGTAAACCCGGCTGGAGACGGCCCCTGTGTGGACACCTCCCTCCTCTCAGAGGAGAGTGGGGGGATCACCCCGGTCCCCGGAACTGCCTCTGCTAGGCCTCATCCTGCCCATGTCTGCGGCATGGCGGGACTTGAAGGGGTGAGGGCTTACCAGGACTGAGCCCAGAGAGTGTAGCTCCCCAGGCCATGATCTGGTCACCAATCCCGTCCCTCCTGTGCGCTGGCCTGTGCGGCCGCCCCTGGCCCAGGCACAAGCTGGCATGGGCGTGGAGTCCATCCCGGGCCCTAGGATATTCCCGCTGCGAATGCAGAGGGAAGGTCCTCAGGAGGGGGCGCCTGGCGGGGCTTGGGAGTCCCCGGGAGGCCCCCTAGTGTGCTGAGCAAGGACCCTCAGGGCAGGAATCCTGGGAAGGCGGAGGGCACAGAGGGCGCGGGACCACTGTTCGCCAGGGAGGCAGCGACATAGGCGGGTCGTGGACTCCGCGCACACCGCCTCCGCCAGTGAGCTGCCCGGGTGGCCAGCCAGGGAGCCGGGAGTCGGCTGCTCCGGGAGTCAGTCAGCCTCCTCGCAGGGCAGCTGCTAGGGGAGCTCGCGCTCTCCTCAGTCGGCGGGTGAACGGGCTCGTCAGCAAGGGCGTCCCCTCACCTCAGGCGGGCCATGAACTGGCAGGAGGCCTCTGGCCGCCGAGACCAGCGTCCTCCTGGGAGACCCACCTGCGCCGCCGTCACTCTCTCATCCCCTGTGCGCGGCCGCATCGGGGTTTCCCGCAGGGAGGTCCGCGCCCCGGGCCGCACCACCAGCCGCCGGGCCCCGCGCTCGTCCCCTCAGCGCTCCCCGCGCGGTCAGCACCCGCCGCCCGACGGGGCCCCCGCACCCCACACGCGCACAGCCCCCCACACCCCAGACGTCCCCGCACCCCACACGCGCCCCCACTCACCCCACACGGCGCCGGACCACGGGACGCGCGGCGCGGCCCAGCGCACCCGAGCACGGAGCCCCGCACGCGCACCCGGAGCCCTCGCGGGCAGCGCGGCCCCCGCCGGACTCTAGGCCGCAAGGGCGTCGCCTGAAGCCCGCCAGCCGCGCCCAGCGCGCATGCGCACGCAGAGGCCACGCCCCGCGGTGGGCGGAGCCGGGCCCGGGGCGGAGTCGCCAGGA